AATTCGATTATTTGTTTAAAATAAAAAAAAACTATTCTAAAAGATTATATATTTATGTATTTTATTGTTATTATTAAAATATTTTGTAACTTTTAATATTATATCACCATATCAATATTTTCATAAATTTATTGTAACTGTAAAAAGTACTAAATAAGAAATTAATAAAAACAAGATTTTTGACAAGATTTTTGACAAAACAAGACTTATTAAATATAAATTTTAAAGTGGTATTAAGAAATACATATTGAATTTATAATTTTTATAATAAATTAATTAAATTATAGCCATTTTTTATAATCTTTTATGTAGAATATTTCACTACAAGAGAAAGAAATTTATATTGCTAAAGCAAAAGATAGCAAGATTAAAGCTCAAGGAAATAAAAAAACTACAATTGGAGAAGATTTGTTTGAAATGGAATTAAATGCAAAAAAGGAACAAGAATTCCAACAAAATATGCTGGAATACATAAACTCTGTCATATCTATGGGTTTATTACATAATAGTATATATTTTATATTAAATTTTTTAAATTAAGAAATCTTGATTAATTCACTTAATAACTTAATAATTATTAAATATATAAATATAATATTATATTATATTAAATATATAAATATAAATATTATATAAATATTGATTATTGAAATAATTGATTATTAAAATAATAAATAATATTATTTATTACAGATTTACATAAATTAAAATTTATATTTATACATGTAAATTGGTTTTACAAGAAGGAAATAGGAATTAATAAATGTGAATTTTGTCCAGCAGAATTTGCAGTTGCACAATTTAGTCTTAAAAATGGTATTGAGAATATTTATCATGAAGTGTTAAAAATGAAAATACCATTAGGATGGAAAAGAGATGCGATTGAAATTAGTCAACAAACACATCAAATCCCTATAGAATTAAAAGAGGGACAAAGTGATTTTTCATATATGTTTAATGAGTTAATTAAATTTTTAGAAACAAATAAGACTGGAAATAAATTCCTCCATTATTCACTACAAAAAATTTAATTCCTGTTGTAGAATCACTATTAATAAAAATGGTTGAAGTTAATAGTAAGAATAAAGGTTATTTTAAGATATTTTAAAATGATATAAAGAATATTATTAATATTTTGCAATTATATTTCAGATGGATCAGTTAATGACTTTTTAATCTATTCGATAGAAGCTCTATTTGGAGCATTGCGAAATGCTGCTGTGCAAAAAGTAGACAATCGTACTATTCCTCTTATTGTTGCTGAAAATGAATTTTCAAAAGATTTTTTATGCAATATACGTGGCTTTGAGTGTGATGTAAGAACAAAAATATATTTTAATTAATAATTAATAAATTATATCTCTTTTTTATTTTTTTTTAATCATTTTGTTTTATATATGTTTTGCTATAGTTTCATAAAATTATAGATATATCTCAATACTGTAGTAAATCTATAGTAAAAAGATGGGGTTTCACAATATGTGATTATTGTTGTCAATATCTGAATATAGAATTGATTGAAGGTGTGCATTGTCCAAAAGAAACATCATTTCTACGATCTACTGATCAAGATACAAGTATACAAGAAATTACTAATATTGACATTCATATAAAACATTTGAACATCAGTGACAAGGTTTCTGAAATGAATGAAATATATTAGAAATTATTATTATTACATTTTTATCACATATAATTATTTAGTTATTATTTCATATTTTATGAATATTTTCTAATTGTAATTTATAGATATCTGAAGAATATAGGAACAATACATCTAAACAAAATTACGATAACAATCAACGACAATGTAATGAATATAAACCATTAGACATAATTGATCATTGTAAAGCTAGTACATCTACTTCGCATAATTTAGCAGTAAGTATTAATTATTATTATATTAATTTGAATTAATTTCGAAATAATATGAAAATAAAATTTTAGTTAAATATGTCAACACATCTAATGCGAACACCAAATACAATACGTAAGCATTATACATATATTTATATATATTTGTAATTTATATTATATTTTTTAAATTTATATTATATATCTAAAATAATATTATATGTAATATATAATTAATATAAATTAATATAAAATTTTTATCAAGAATTAATATAATTATTAATAAAATTAATAATAAATTTTAAAGATTAATAATTATATTAATAACATTAATAATAAAAATTATTTTACAATATTTTAGCTCAAACTCTTATTGGAGTGCAAGAAAATATTGATCCATGTGTTGATTTCCCACCAATTGGTAAGGTATTTATTTTTAAAAAATTAATTTTAAATATATTTTAAAAATATTAAAAAAAAGAATAATATAAAAAAAAGAATAAGTAGAAAAATAATTTTAATCGATTTTCATTTAATTTTTAAGTAAATGTTATTCAATATTTTTTATTTTTTAAGGATTCATAATCTAATTTATATAATTTCAATAATTGTAATTAGTTTTCTTTTTTTTATAAGTTATATTTTTGATTATAAAGAGTATATAATGATTAGATTTCTAATTTTTTTTATTTATATTTTATTTTTTATTATAGGAGGAAGAGGTATAAATTATAAAAAAAAAATTATAAATATCAAACTACCGTTGGGAAAAGGTAAAAATTTATTAAATATGAATTTATTATATTTGAATGTTTTATTAAAAATGTAAACGAAATAATTTTGTACTTTTTTGTGCAGGATATGGAAAATAATAATCATTGACAAATTTGATATATTTGAATTTTTTTAATATAACAAATTTTTATATAGATATGTTCTTAATAGATAAAGCTTATATACATATAATTTACATATAATTTATATATAATAATATTTTTTTTTAATATAAACAAGAAAAAAATGAAAAATACAATATATGTACTTATGAGTAAAATTACACGTTAACATTGAATATATTTATTCTTAACGTTCTGAAAAATAAAAAATAGAATATATAACATTATCAATACAAGATATGTACGATGAATAGATATTCGTGTATTTTTGATGCATTATTTGTATCTTTTTAAAAAAATAGATTTCATTAGATTTTAAGTTAGAAATCATAATTTTGCTTCTGATTTGAATTTTTTTTATATATTTTATTGATAAATTAAAAGTACTCTAAACTGTAAGTTTCTAATGAATAAAAGTCAATATTGATAAAAGAAATAAACAACAAAATTCTTTTAAGTTATAAATTTTAAATAATTTTAAATTAAATTTCATTTAAGCATCGAAAATTCTATAAACGATATGGAATAATAAGTATATACGTGTGTGTGTGTGTGTGTGTGTGTGTGTGTGTGTGTGTGTGTGTGTGTGTGTGTGTGTGTGTGTGGTGGTGGTGGTGGTGGTGGTGGTGGTGGTGGTGGTGGTGGTGGTGGTGGTG